TTTTTTTTCCTAAATAAATAATACTTTCTCAGAAATAGGAAATTTTTTACCTTTTAATGTTTCAGTGGCAGCAATATCAGAAAATGCCTTTGATAGCAAGAAAGCTTCATGAAAAAAGCCCAAGCTTGATTGCACTGGAGTATTTACCCTTCCCCTTGCTAACTAATAATCCAGCTCTTATATACACTTCACACCTTTCTCCGTTCTGACATCTGGCAACTCAGGGAGGCTTTGTCATTAAGTTCCATCCCTATAGAGAGAAAGTGCCTCATAGACAGCAGAAACAGATGGGTCATCAGTACATTAACACATTAGTAAATATTAACGTAGCAGATACAGTGTCTTTGTGCAGTTAATGGTGTGTCATACACAGCAGAAGCTTGGATTTGCCATCTTTGTAAAATACAAGTGAATTTTCAAGAATAGAATGTATGTTGTTATGAAGGATTGATAAAAAGAAGTGATTAAGAATACAGTAGTCCTCCTTATCCACAGGGATTTATGTTCCAAGACCCGCAGTGGATACCTGAAACCACATGTAATACCAAACTCTATATATACCATGTTTTTTCCTATACATGCATACCTATAATAAAGTTTGATTTATAAATTAGGCACACTAAGATTAACAACAATAACTAATAACAAAATAGAACCATCATAACAATATACTGTAAAAAAAGTTATGTGAATATTGCCTCTCTCTCTTGCTCTGAAAATAATGTAATATTTTGGACCCCAGTTGACCTTGGATAACTGACACAGAAGAAAAAGATACCACAGATGGGTGGGGTGACTACTGTCACAAGAAATGTGCTTACATGCAAGAGTGAAGCTATGTCTCAATCCAAATGACCTCAATGGCTTAATCCCATGGACATCCAGAAATAGATTCAGATGTAAGGGAACAGTATACAGAAAAAGGACTTAGAAAAATCTAAAGCCATTTACAGGGAGGTCGGGGGGTATTAAAGGCATAAAAATAATTTTACATTGGGCCGGCCCGGTGGCGCACTGGATAAGAGCACCGCTTGGGAAGCGCGGTGGCGCTCCCGCCTGAGGGTTCGGATCCCATATACAGACCGGTTCCCGCTCACTGGCTGAGC